CAATTAGCCTATTTCATCTGTGCAGTCAGCGCAGGGAGATGACTGAGGCTCATGTGCCCGTGTGCTGCCATGCTCCATCTGAATAGAGATGAGGTCCTGGGGTTATGTTAAACCTGCTATTGTATCACACAGGATAGTTCACAATAGACTCTAGAAATACACAGAGTGCTGCTTCAGAGATATGTAAATATGCACAAGGATGTAAAGAAGTTTGATACCAATTTGCGATGTGTTGACACCTGCTGTGGTCCCAACAGATTCTTGGATTATAATCATCTTCAAATGTATTGAACAGTAAGATACCTCATCTCTGGAATTTGAAATACATTAAAAATGAAAAACAATCTGCAGCCAAGGAGTGAGGACTCAGTGGGCCCATCTGGCTTTACTTCTGACACTCTTTACTGCTGTTTAATGCTTATTCGAGTGCTCATTGATTGGACCACACCAATTTCAGGCTTAACATTCAGTCTGACCTTACGTACGTTTGATTTGGCAGATTTTGTCATTTCTCCCTCCACTCACCCCCAACCGGTGGTTGCACCTCCCTGAGTGTGGTTCAGCCAGAGGTTTCTATCTGTTAAAGTAGTTTTTCCTTCCCACTGTCGCCAAGTGTTTGCTCATGGGTGTAGGGGGAGACATTTGATTGTTGGGGTTTTCTCGTGAGGTGACTGTCGTAACTCGAAACTTCTTTCTCCTAGCGTTTTTCCCGCTCTGAGGGGTTCGCTTTTCTGCAAGGCCGCCTCCATTCAGAATGATCAAGGGCGTCATTCAGGTTGACGCTGATCTTCTTCACCTTGTCTTTGACTCGGTTCATCCATCGCCTTTTTGGTCTGCCAGCCTTGGGGGCTGAGTCGCAGTGCTTCTTGCCACCGAGTTTTCGTCACTTCTGACCACGTGCCCATACCATTGCAGTCGCGCTCCTTGCATCTTCTCCGTGATTGACGCGATGCCCAGCCGCTTTCGGATGTCGGTGTTCATGACGTGGTCCCATCGTGTCAGGCCCAGGCACCATCACAGCATTCGCATTTCCATTGTGTGAAGGGTCTGTTCGTGCTTTGTGGTGGCCAGCCAACACTCTGATCATAAAGGGTCACAGGGCGCACTACGGTCTTGTACATCTTTAACTATATAAATGAAACTGAATTTAATTTTTATTCTTGATATCGGTCTCGGTGCAACCCTAGAGGGGCTTGTGACCTAGCACTTCTTGGGTGAATGTGTAAACTACTACACACTATGGAGCCACTCAGTCTGACCTTAAATACACTCAAACTGGAGAATAAAGACGGACCACTCTGTATCCCACTGATTTATGGTCTGTTGTTTTGAAGCTTTGAGTCTGGCACTTTGGCCATTTTGTCTTTTTGAAATAAAGTATGACCACATATGGACAAGAGGGGAGGAGGGTCAGGGGGTGTGGTGGGTTATCAGCTAATCTAACCATAGCTGGCTAGCTCGGTTAGCAATATATATCACAGTGAAAAATGAATTACTAATGCTGGTTAGTGAAAAACAGGCATTAAACGCAGTGGTTAGGGCAGTCACACCTTCATAACCTAAGCCTGTAAAGTTGCGTAATTTTGTGTGCTTTTTAACACAGCTTGACATTAAAAAGGTGTGACAGAAAAGCATTCACTAAATCAGACAACATAGACAGCATGACAAGAATATACTTCGAACTCAAAAGTGAGAATCAAATATAGAAACATGCAAATACTAAAGATTAGCACCCAAATAAGCATTAAACAGGAGCTATTTTAACATCTAGCACTACTGCAGTTATTTGTTGCATGTCAGCAAGTACACAGAGTACACATGCTCACACAGTATGTGTACTCTGATTAGTCATCAGGGCGTGAGTAATGGTATGAATCACATGCATTTTCAGGCATGTTCATTACTGCTGCGCAGCAGTTCTTTATCTGGTTTAGTTAGGGTTATGCCCATGTGCAAAGTTGCACACATGCACGTTTGTGCTGATTGCTTTTGTTTTTCCTTTGAGTTCTCAGGGCCACAGGTACAGTTTTAACTCTGGTTAGGCATGTTGGATGTGTTTATATACATGGATTTTCCTGAACAGTCAAATCCTGGAGAAAAAGGATTCCTATAATATTGGAAGATGCATGCCAAACTGCTAATTGTGAATATATTAGAGGAGATATATTCCCATTCAGATCTATGTGATCCACACTGAAAGGCGATATTGGCTGCACATCAATGAAAACCACCCCCACCCTGTCAAATCTCTCCACAGTGGTCACTGCTGCTCTGTCTGCAGGTTCCACCTGGCAAACAGACACATCTTTGTTAGACACGTTTTGCAGAGAGAAATGTGTGTGTAGCTAAGGCTCAGAAAAATGCCTGCATGCATTTGTCGCTAGTGCCTCACCTGCACAGAGTTCAACAATAAGCAACTGCCACTGAGCCAAAGGCAGCCTCAGACCTGCCTGCAGGAAAAAGCAGACTTAAGACAAACTTGAAAAGCCAGCAGAGATGCCGCAGCTATAATAAACAGAGTTTCCTCTGTTTTACCCCACGGGGTTTTGGGTAAAGGGTTTTATGGGTTCTGTTTTAGGGGTTCTATGTTTTTGTTTCATGTTGCTAAAAAAGAAATCGATGGATTTTGATTATCAACCAACCCTTTGTTTTTGCATGACAACAGCAGCGAGCGATCTCACTGAATGTCAGACAGAAAGTGAGAAACACTATAATGACACAGTTTCTGTAATGTTGCCTGTTTACACCAACTCAGTGGATTTGTGAGTGAAATTAAGGCTTTCAGTTTCAATTCAATTCCTTAATTTAATTTAACAGAAACATAGCAGTAACTAACCCTAGCTGTTTCCATTTCAGAACTCTGCAGGCCCTTTTTGATGTTTTCTGGCAACTCTAATCTTGTTCTTAACCTCCGATTTCCACCTTGCTGAAACCCCTCTGCATTTCCATTCATGAAACGGTCTCTTGATTGTAGACTTTGATAATAGCACGAGAGAGTTCTTGACTTGGCTGGATATTGTTTTCCTTAACCATGGAAATAATTCTGCGATCATTCTGTAGCTTTTCAAGAATGTACCAGACTGTAGATTTGACCCGTCCTGGGTTTTAGGGTTTTTTTTCCCCCCAGCCTAATGATGTGTTCCTTCACTTGCATCAGTAAAAAGCAACCAAATAGTTCTACACTGGTAATCAACTGAACTGAATCACCTTTACCTGCTGACTTTAGAATAAAAATAATGGGGGACCAGTCCTCAACTGGTCATGAAACCTCTTGTTAGTCCAATTACTTTTATAATAATTCTCTCAAACCATTTTGCCTGATTTAAAATCCATTTCTTGTTATTTTTTTAAACAAAAAACAAATAAACTTTTAATTTTCCAAATAGCAATGGACCTAACCGTATGTTCATTAAGAAATGTTGCAATATACATTTTCTATAAAATATATTACAAAGGTAAATGGACTGTTCATTGTCAGGTGAGACTGACATCAACTTTTAAATATGGAGCTGAGAGAGGGGTCTGTAAAACTCACAAATTACCAAATATTGGTTTGATTTTCACAATGCCTCAAAAAAAATAAAATAAAAACCCCTCATCTATCACCAGCAGCCAACTGGGTCAGTGCATGTGGGACTGACCAACATCCCCCAACAGGATATGATGCATTACTTTGTGATTTTTAGAGTTACAAATACAAACGGGGTAGTGGACTGTGGTCGATATGATAAAGTAATTCAAATGTCCATTAACTGTATATTTAAAGGAACAGGTACGAGTCAAAATCCTGGTCAAAAGCAGATCTGTGGGACTCTGTCAGGCACTTGTGCAATTTTCCGTCTCGTGGCAGCTAATGACCTTTAACACCCATCAGTCTGCTTCTTGAATTGAAGTTTCATACCTCCCACCATTTTTTTCTGGCCTCTTCTTGTTCAGTCAGTGAGTTTACTTGGAGGGTGCTTAGGTCCCGGGGAATAGAGTTATGAAATGTTTGGCAATAGACACAGCAAGTTTAGAGGTATGAAATAAGAGCAGGCGTGGGGGGGAAGGGACATGTACAGCTGATCCTCTATAGTAAAATGATCTGATCAGGAGATAGGCTGGTCAATGTGAGGTGACCCGCCCGCACTAGTTATGCAACAAACATACTTAAATCCTCCTATTTATGACATGGAGGCTCTAAATTAAACAGGCATCATATGATAATAACTGAGGAGGGCAGACAGGAAGGAAGACTGAGGACAGCGCAGAGAGCGCCCATCAATAAGACAGTGTTTAAAGTTTAACCATCCAGGCATTACATGTCTTTCCACTCAAACCTTACACAAGCCTCAGTTTATTTTCAGGGGTTTGAACGGGTTTGAAATTACTCCTATGTTACGCGAGGAGAAAAACAAGAACAAACCAAAGGCTGTAAAACCAATTTTAGCAGCGCAAGGTGTTGCCAAACCTGAGCAGAGACCACAGAGGAATCTACAGATAGGCTGTCGAGTTCCAACCTGAAACAGAACTGAGGCCTTGTTGAGGCTGACAGCTCAGAAATATTAAGAGCAGCAGCTGGACATAGATGTAGTTATGAATCTTCTGATTTCACACAACGTCAAGCTATTCTTTGAAACATGTAAATCTGACACACTGAACAATGGATGCCAGGGGATAGAAGCCATAACCCATCCATCCACTTACTTCTGCTTCCTATTCACTGTATACTGGTTACAGTTGTGCTGATGAATATATTACTATATAGAACAGAAGCAATACATTCACCTTTTGCCCTTCACATACCAGCAGTATATGCACCATGAAAGGTCATATAGGAACTGTGTTGATTAGTCATTACTTATTAAATGTATTCTTAATTTTCAGACTGCTGCAAAATTTCAACTTTGCTGAACTAAATGAATAAACTGCACAGTTCCTTCAACCCACAAAACTGAGCTTTAAAGGAAAAGATCAAATTACTAGCAGGCCTCTCAGGAGGTGTGAAATTGGACGAAAGAACATGACGGAAACCCGCTGGTTCTGTTTAATACGTGTTAAGACAAATCATCGATTCTGCTTTTCATAATAAGGAAATCCGCGTGAACCCTGTGAACCCTCACGCGTGAATATTGAAATTTAGTCTCTGCCTCTGTGCACGTTTAACTTCATCGGTGCAGTTTTGGACTCCACTTTGTAACAAACTGAAAGCAAATCATTTTATAAATCAATAAAAACTTAAAACACTTTTATTGAACTTTGTGTTTTTTCCTCGAGACAACAAGCTGGTTGATGCACACTGGATTTGAGCCAGCTTAAAACAAAACAAAACAAAACAACAACAACAAAGGACTGAAATATAGGACCAATCCCGCGAGATATAAAAAGACTCTAGCATCCGACTTAACAAGAGTCACACACTTTCCCACAAAACACTTATCAGATCAAGGGAATTTTGTCTAAACTTTCAAGCCTCAAGCTGAAATAACTCTGATAATATTGCTACAATATCATCAGACGTCACTCCTGCACTTCTGAAGTCAATTAATGGACTGCAATAACATGAGGTACCACAAAAACAGGAGCCCTTTTGATCATCAATGACAAAGTGACAAGTATTGCTTGTATATTTTATTTTATGTACAGTACATGTAAAAAAAAAAAAAAAAAGTAGCTAATATTATTGACCAACGTGGGCAACAGTAGACAGCCATGTTGCTCATATGTGGGGAAAAATCCTGTCGACCACTTCCCCTCTCAGGCATACGTACGTATAGACTCTTAAACTGTAAGGCTGCCTGGGACCTAGCTGCGCTTGACTACAAACCGTCAAACTGCAGATTATCAAAAAAAAAAAAGAAAGAAAGAAGAGTGCATTAAACTGCTCCCCTTTAAAAATACGCTTCGCTGACAGCAAGCCTCAATGGGAACGAACAGTTTCCAGGCGGACAGAAAGCAGACGGACCGGTCTGCTGAGTGTGACTGCGCGCAACGTTAAGTTACGTTTTTAAACACCGACAGGGCTGCCTCGCCTTTCCCTCCCTTCCCCTCTAAATCCAACTGTGCTGCTTTCAACACAAAAGGTCACTAAAGGTCAGCGGCGCAGTCTGTCTGCTTTTGCCTGATGTCTCAATATAACTGCTCCAACTAGTAGCAAGCAGGTTATTTTCCTTTTATCTTCAGCACACTCAGCAGTTGAATTCACAGTATTCTTACAGCATGTTATTTTTTCTTCTTCTCCCAAAGTCACTCATAAAGCTTTAACTGATAATGCATAGGGGACTTCTGACGCGCTTGTTCGTCCATGTTTATCCAGTGGATAATGTTAAAACATGGAGAATTTTTTTTGTAGTGAGAGAGAAACGCACCCAAGTCAAAATGCGAGAATACAGTGTACACAACCATCTGTGTCTGGTGTCCCCGAAATTGTACGACTAAAAAGACAAAAAAAAAAAAAAAAGTTGTTTTGTATCTCCAAGGCCATGGATAGTCAACCACAAAGACTTTTGAATTCCCCTGCAGCCTAACAGGGCTGTATCTCGCAATAGTGTTTCAGACAGTGAGCTTACAGCAGGCCACCAAGGTACAGATAAAGTGCTTTTTTTTTTCTTAAACGTGACACTTTTAAATAATTAATAATGGTTCTCAGGGAAAAAAAACAAGCAAAAAAAACAAAAGCGTTGGGAGGGGTAGAGTACGCCGACATGACACTCGTAACGTTAGAAAATGAAATGGAAAAGAGACACGACATGAATCAGGAGAGGAACAGAGTTCAGTATAAATACATCCACAAATCCAACTAATGTCGCGGAAGGCTACGAGGATGAAACACTGTGATCGCTAGCTGGAAACAGTCACTACTGTCTCTGGATGGAGCTGTTCACATTTTCAGAGGAAAAGAGGTTTTGGGGTAAGACTTTTTTTCCTTTTTAAACTTGTGTCCGAGGGATGAAGGAGGAAGAGGAGGGGGAGCCTTCTTGGCTGGAGGAGGGGAACCTTGGAGCCAAACGACGACGGCGGCAAGGCCCGCGATAATGACAGCAGCAGATTGGGAGGTTTTTGCGAGACTGTAGTAGAAAGGGTGAACTTACTGGATCATAATAAAACATTACAGACAATAAATACATTCAGGTCCTTGTAGTGTTGTTATTCGGCTCTATTGAAATATGATTAAATCTAGGAAAGGAAAAAAAAAAAAAAAAAAAAAAAGGAGGAATAGTTTATAGTTCAAAGAAGACCATGAGATGCCAGGCCTTTATATTTTTTGCTCCCTTATCCGGTCTCAAGAACACTCCACCTTGGCGGCCATTTTCCACCAGCCTTGTGAGAAAAAAGAAAATAAAATAAAAAATGAGAGGGCGTATAAATAGTAGCCGTGGCAACCACACGTACTCCCTCCTGGGTCTTGATGACATAGTCTGAGAATTCAGAAAAACCTCGGAGACTTGTCTTCAGTCCTCAGGCTCTATGCAAAAAAAGAGAGAGAGGCAAAAGGGGGATAGACAATGAGCAAACAAGGCAGGTCATGCATCCGGTGCAGGTCATTTTTAACTGAGTCTGCAAGAATCAGCAGTGCGTTTGGTGTTGTGCTCAACATGTTATATCAGTCATGTGAAACCTCTGTGTAGCTGACAGAGGAAGAAAAACGCTTCCTCTATGAGGTCTGGAAAAGGCACCAAATATAGGCTTGCCTTAACCCCTTACTGTTTATCCTCTGCTATAACCAATTCCCTCTTGGCTGCTGTGCTCGTAACAGAGTAAACAGTGGGGTTGGAAATGGTCTGTTTGCCCCTTCTATCACTCAGAGACAATATTTAACATTTGAGTGTATGTTGAGAAACCTGCTGCTTGGCTACCCAGGCTAGGTCACCACACTTGGACGACAACCAAATAAGAGATGACTTTAAAAAAAAGAAACAACTTATGGTCATGCACTCTGATTGCTTGAATTGAAGCAGTACAGCCTGATGCGAGTCCTTTTCTGAAATGAGCCTTTTAAACAAACCATCCCTGTTGACAGGCAGCCACACAGCCTGTGCCTTCATTAGAGCTTGTGTTAATGTTTGCTCTGCTGCCTCAAACACAGCACCTGTTTCAGGACGTGAATGCAGCGAGGCTGGCACGACACAGCTCAAAGTGTTTGGTACTAGAGCGGGTTGGAGCACAAGCTCTTTTTCTTTTAGCTCAGCATTCTGCCCTAAAGTTTAACATGCTCATCAAATTACAGGTTTCACAGATATTTGAGGGAAGAGCTGGTGAATACAGCCGGAGAGGCACAGGGAATATTTAACAATTGTCATTGCACGTGTACTACAAAATTGTGGGGCTCTATACTAACTGCTCCAGCATAAAATATAAAGGAATAAATAGCAAACAGGAGAAATATATACAATCAAGAGGGACACAATTGAAATAAATTAAAAACATACACTTTTAGCTTGGCTGTATATTCTTTCTGGTGTGTGCGCTTTTTTTGGGGGGGGGGGGGGGGGGTCAAATCATAGAATCAATGCAAATATCAAAGTTACTCAATTTCTAATAGTTTAAGAAAGAAAAGGTTCATATTAAAAAAAACAAAACAAAACAGAAAATGCGAAAAACTGAGAAACGTGCCGACTTACTGTCAATCAACTGACTCATGCATGCAGCCCATATTGTGTCTGCACAGCCAACATTTCTACACTGGCAGCTCTTGCTCATCTGCACCAGCTCTGTGCTGTAATTTGTTCTTGCTGAGTCAGACTTGTTTCTCATAGTCAATCATTGTGATTAAAACTACCAGTTGGGCCACTGATGACTAGACCGAGTTTTTTTTTTGTCATCTAAAAAAATAAAATACAATCTAAAATACAAGCAGCCAGTTGGTGTTGGTCCGTGTGTTTGTGTGGGCCTTGTTTTTTGGTTTTGTTTTTTTGTGGGGGAGCACACAACGACAACACCAACTGGCTGCTTGTATTATCTTCTTAGGTTCACTTAAAGCATTTCCTTCATCTACCATGTAGACATTGTTTGAAAAAAATGCAGGTGATCGGTAACGATTTCTGTAATATTCTATGTTTATAGTAGAGCTGGGCGATAGAACGATAACGATATGTATCGCGATATAACTTTTACTTGATAGAGAAATTAAGCTATCGCAATAGACCTCGCCGCTCTTGTCCTCTTAAGAAAAAAGAAAAAAAAAAGGTCAGCCAATCCAAATTAAGTAGCGCAGAGCCGAACCAATCACAGCCGCAGTGTCACGTCGCGTGACTTGTTACGTACAGCACAAGTGCCAAGCCGCACGTGTGTTTGTTTGGGAAGCAGCCAGCGGGTAATGGAGCCAGCGCGTAATGGAGGAAATGAGTGTGCCGACTAGAAAAATCAACTGAGCGTGACCGAAGAGAAAACAGATGATGGTTCCAATGCCGGAGAGATTGTCGAACGGAAGAGCCATAGAAGTTCCGTAGTGTGAAGGTATTTCGGCTATTTCAAGTCTGACAAAAAGAGTAGCGTGCACTGTAAATTGTGCCGAAAGCAAGTCTGGAAATACAATAAACTGGTGCATGCGTCACACTGTGCACCACGTTATTGTTTCGGTAAAATGAATTTCTACAATACTGTTAATTCTACTCTCTGCAGTGTTTAAATGCTTACATATACACACAGTTACTGTCCCTCCACACACACACACACACACACACACACACACGACTCGGTTCTGCTTCTATGCCCCAGCTTTGTTTACTTTTTCCCACGGAGGCTTCTAGACTTCTGATTGGCCAACATTTCTGCACGGTTAGGAATCTAGCGCCACCTGCTGCTTTGGCATGTTCATAGCAGCGTTTTCCTTCATTTCTGCCTTTACGTGTGGACGGGATTATTTTTTAAAACGAAAACGGAAAATCTCTGTTTTCAAAAATACCCGTGTACGTAGCCTCAGTCTCTGACTGGAAGCGCTAATTCGTCATTTGTCAGACTAAAGTAACTGTTAAAACTGTTTGAAAAGCTAAGCTATACAACAAGGAGAGATTGAGAATTTCCTTTTAGTTCTCAGTTTATTTGATATTGACAAAAGTTAGTCAGTTTTGTCTGTTCTTCTGTAAAACAAACTAAGCTTTATTTTTAGAATTAATATTTTGTTTCTAAGTGGAATTGACAATTTAGTCTGTTTCGTTTGTTCTATTTTGAAACTTAAACGCTTTAGCGGCTGCCTTTTGTGTAGTTTGCAATATTTGCCTTTATTTATCTGAAAAAGTCTCATGTTCCTTAAGTACATCTACCCTGTTGAACTTATTATGGGAAATAAATACTTAAATAAAAACAAGCTGCTGATTATTTCACATTTTACTTGTGAGCAACGGCACATTTAAATCTTACAAATATAGTTATTTGGCTTATATCGTGATAGATATCGTTATCGCCTGAAATGAAAAAAACATATCGTGACATGAAAAAATCTCATATCGCCCAGCTCTAGTTTATAGTATACCCCTTTGCCCAACATAGTCATAGAAGTGATACAGGCACATGTAAGTGCTATGAACTCACCTACGTGTCGCAGTGAGAAAGCAGTGACGTAATCTCCGGGCTCATGTGACCCACGGCCTTGGCTGCCTCCAGGATAGCTCTCCGGTACATCCCTTTCTTCTTCCGGTTGAAGCGGGACCTGAAGAGCTCTCTGAAGGGCGACAGTTTGGCAACAGAAAGCTGGGAGGTTGTGGGTGAACCGAACCACGCCACCTTGGCTTGGGGCCACTGGGCCTCGCAACTGGCTGTCTCCTGCTTGCGAGTGCCGCTGATGCTCAGGACGCGTGCCGGCCACCAGGGGAAGCCGTGGATTTTCCCCCACACGATGTCACCCACCGCTATGGCGTGACCTTCTTCTGTCACACACTTTGTCATGCTGCGGGTGTGAAGCCGCACTGTGAGAGGCGGCACCGTCTTGCAGTCGTCCCGTGAAGGTACAGAAGATGAGGTTACAGAGAGGTCTTCACCAGGCGCCAGATCGCACAGCTCTGGTGAGGTGCCGTCCGAGCTGAAGGACTTTGACTCGTCCAGGCTGTCGCTACTGCACACCGACAAACTAGAAGAATCCGCTTTACGTTTACGGAAGTTAATGAGAAGGGTGAGGTCGCTGTGGCCGCGATCCACCTCCTCACCTGAACTCCCTGACCACAATTCCAGAGAGTTCTTGCCTTCTCCTGAGTCTTCGGAGTGTGGGAGGCACGGCCCGGGCCCCCTAGGGCTCCGTCTCCTGGTGCCTCCAAGAAGTTCCGCATCATACTCAACCACGCTCTCCTCAGTGTCCCTCTGAGGGGGTCTCAAACGGATCTTTGGAGAAGGTGTGTCCTGACCTACATTTGCAAAAGGTCTTGTTAGTTTGAGTTTGGGAATGGACACAGTGAGGCCAGACCTTGTGGCATCTAGAATGTGCCGCTGTTCCTTGGTGGCATCAGAAGTTGCCTTGTCGTTTTCCCCCACGCCATTCTGCACCAGCTGTTTGGGGCAGAATGGTTTGACTGAACCGTGGACTCGCGCCGGGATCTTCATAACCTCCCCCTTGCCCTGTGGAGTGCTGTAGGAGATCTTTATGACGGGACTGTGTGGAATAACATCAGTTCCAGGGTACTTCTCCCCATCAGCCTCGCACCTTTTGTCCTTTCTGAGACGCTTACTATCAAGGCTGGTGCCATTTTCCCGTCTTTTAGTGTCCTTGGCTGTGACTGTGTCCTCTTTTCTTGACAACTTATTAGGAGTATCCTTGTCGTAGCCGTCATCGTCACTTTGTAGTGAATTTTCTTTTCTAGAGGTCTTGGTGTTGCTCATGCCATCTTTGCTGTCCTCGTCACTATTTAGCGTGTTCTTGCACTTTTCACACAGTACCTGCCGAGGCCGCAGACGGATAGTACTTATGGTCATACGGCCGGGCTCTCGCGTTCGCCTCTTCTTTCTCTTGATTGGTCGTGGAGGGGGTTGAGGTACCCATTGGCTGTAGGTGTGGCGCACCCATAAGGGCTGGGGGAAGGGGGCTCCTTCAAAATAAGGAGGATAAGGAGTCTGTCCAGCTGGCACTGGTGTGGGAACGGGGCAGGGTAGAGGAGGTGTAGGTATGCTGCTTTCAGGGAGAGTGTTTTCATCCTTTGGTCTGTGTGAAACCTGGCTGGGAGATTTGGAAACAGAGTCCTCGCTCAGAACTTCTTGGATTTCAGAAGCAGGTTTAGATTCTTGGCAGTCCCCGAGTTTTGTTGTGAAGTCTGGTAGACAAAATAGCCCGGTCCTAAAATAAACGAGAGAAAAAAGAAACAGTGTATAAATAGCTGTGGATCTTGTTAAGCTTTATACAGCAAAGATGATACAGTCGTGCTAAACCCTGAGAATTTTTACTTCAACAATCCCCTCCATTAGAACAATATGCCTCAACATGTGACACAACCTGAGGCAAGTAGGACAGCACTGAAACAATAAAAGAACAATGTTCACATTGTCGAAAAAAAAAACAAACATATATAACTAGTTTTGGTTTTACTTTGACACGAGACATTGATGTCACTCTCCCTGTCACCTGGGTGCTGAAGGTTCTTAACATGTGGGGGTTGGGGTTTGTTGTGCAAGCAGACAGACAGTTATCTGTGCCTCAGCCTCAGGCCACAGAAGCAACAGTGCTGCTGAATTTTCCCTAAGTGATTTTTATGTGATTTTTGCGTGTGTGTGTGTGCTTTTTTTTTTTTTTTTTTTTTATAAACACACTGGGATCAGCAAACATGTCCAGTGAGGTCCTAACTGCCAAGAAAGTCTTTGAGAGGTGGCTGGCAAGCAACAGTAACATAGCTGTGCTGCCTTAGTCAGGAGACAACAGACAAAGAGACTACAGGATGCCCGAGACCACCCCCTCCTCCCCAACATCTGACTGAACAAAAACAATCCCATGAATCACTCGGGATTCAGAGAGGTAGGGAAGGAGCCAGGAGATTTCAGTTTGTTTTTGCATCCGTGTCTACTTGGGGCTTATGTGCGGCAAGATTATTAATTAGTGCACATTTGGGGAGCCTGCTTTCCTCCCCAAGAGAAGTAGTTGGCAGGCATCTCCAAATAATAGTCTCCTGGTGAGGCTTGTTACTCTTAGCTTTAGGCTCCCATAACAAAATATGTGCCCCTATAGCTGTTGAATATCACTCTTTACTCTGATTGACGCAGCACAAACAAGGCTGTATGTAGTAGGGAACACACAGTAATAGTTAAGCGCAGTACAAGGACGCAGAATATGGCCAGGCATGATTCACCACACTGTTGTCTTTTCATGCTGTGGTGGAGATCTGTCAGAATGATAGGGCAAGACAATAAGATTAAAAAAAATAATGCAACAATCTGTTTGCATCGGACAATGACAGGAAGTGTATTGCCATGAGCTGAAAAGGAGGAATTAGTCAAATTTTGTCAGTGACAAGGCCTAAAATATAGGCCTATTTTAAGTTATTCCAAGGCCGACCTTTTCCCATTTGGGTGGGTTATTTTCAGTACAGCATGAGCTCTTGCACGAAAAACCATCTAAGCATACTAAGGGGAAAAGCTGGTCAGGTTCTGATTCTGCTCGTCTATAAATAGCCTAAAGCCAGTGGCTTTTAAGGTGCACAGCACCAGGAGGAACACAAGGCTTATACATGTGACACACAACAAGAGGGCCTGATAAGACATGACACTGGTACATGTCAAATTATACTTGTATGGTTCTCTTTTGAACAGACTGTGCTTTCTATCAATAGCCCCATTTTTTATGTTTTGCTTTGTCAGAGGCTAAGATGGACACAGATAAGACCAAAGCTTGATTTACCGAAAATGAGACACAGTTGTGATCATTCAAATGTATTTTAATAATTTTCTATTGTTTCTGCTAGTCAGAAATGACAGGTTATAATGTTGCTGCCTTTGAATAAATTTCAGCTTACTGTACTCAGACATTTGCCTACAAAACTAGTGCACATTCACATTTCTGTACAATTGCATGATAATAAAACAGATAAAAATAAATAGTGTGTAGCTAAGGCCTGGCTATTTTACTGGATTCGCTTTAGCTGCTCTTCCCTTGATTAGGCTAACAATAAGCTATAGCTGAACCCACTGACAGTAGATATTTTTCAACAGAAGTCACTAACAGTCTCTACAGGCTGGGCTAATGCCTTTATATAGTTTTCCTCCATCGTAAAATCGAGTATTTCGCCGTCTTATTATAGGCAAAAATGACATCACTTTAACATTAGCCGAGAAGCTAGCAGATAGCCACCTTGTCAGCTACAATAACCTGCAAGCCTTTTGTATAAAGGCCTAGGTCGCTAATAGTTAGCTTTGACTTAGCATCCAAGGTAAATTAGCCGTTAGCAGTATTTAGCAAATAATTTTTAGACGATAATATATAAAAGAAGTTTAGAAAAAATAGTGCTCACTTTTTGTTGCAATCGAGTAAAATCCCCGTGTAGATCCTTTCTCGATAGGTCAGCGTCACCACCAGTGTATCGTTAACTATTTGATCGATAGTGACAGGTACCCGAGAGCCGGCCCGCAGCTCCTCGGCCACAGCCTCCATGTTTCCCGGGGTGAGTTGTCCGGCTCGGCGGTGCTCGATCCCGGCCAAGGGAGCCACGGTCGCGTCGGCCAAAGATCCGTCTCCCCTTCGCTATTGGAGCAGGAGGCTACACCAGGGCATAAAATGACGCCATCACCCCCACCAAGTCAATTACAACAGTACTGCCACCGCTGACATCACGCTCTCTGTGCTACAGGAGCAGAAAATCTCTCAAGACAAGGCCTACCCTTTCTCTGTCTCACTTTGTACTGCTTGATGCCATTCATTACCCCGGCACTTTTCGCTTTTTTCCCCCCTCTTTTAAACTCAGCAGCAGGTTTATGGCATCCGTCTTCAAAACAAATACCACAATTACACATGAAAACTGAAAACGCATACAAGCATTTTAAAATAATATGTAATCAAAAATTAAAACTGATGATGACAAAAATGGCAATTAAATAATAATCACAAGATGCAGAGCCAGCTGACAACGATTATATATAATGTCACACACGCACACAAATAAATAAAACATTTAATGTGCTATTTGACAAAAACCTGCCACTTTACTTTAATGTATCTTGTTGTAAATTACATTAATGAGGATATTATTATCTATTTGGAGCTAAAAACGTCGAGTTCCCCTTTAAAATGATCTATTTTAAGACTGGCTTAATTTACTCTGCATGTAGGTAATACATGCCCGGTGAGCCAATAACGCTTTTTCTGAAAAGCTTATTTTGACACAATAAAGTATTTATTTTATGTAAGTTAAAGTTAACATGATTACTTTGCTTAGTGGAGAGAGCATCTTGCAGAAGTTAAAAGAAAAATAGAAACACACCAGCTGTGAACTGGAAACTTTCTAAACACTCCCTTGCCAAGTTAGGATTTGAAATGTTTACCTTATAGACTTGTGCAACACAATATGATTCAAAAGGATTTAGTCGCTTTATTGATTTATTTCCATATCAATTAAATATCACAAAAACTCAAACAGCAGGTGTGTAGTCTCTGTCACTTATCAAGGAAACCAGGCCAGGTGTCCCCAGTAAAGATCATGAAAGTTTTTTCAAGATCTCGTCCTTGAGTTCTCTTCCTCTCCAGGAGCTGCATCTGTAACTTCCTCATCTGTCAGTCAGAAAAGTGGAGTTTAGATCAATAATCTATATTAACCTATATAATGAGTTGCACAATGAATGGGAATTATACGTCAGACCTCTTCCACATCCTCCATCGCTGCTGCCATCTGCTCGCTTGTTGTGCCCCTGGGATTCCTGCACCTCTCCTGTATCTTCTCGGCACGGGCACAAATCTGCCGTTCCAGGTCCCGGGCCGATCTTTAGGGCCGTGCAGTTCAAAGGTCAAAATCTATATATACAACACTATACAGGTGTTTAAGTATTATAGCCTTTACAGATATAACCCAAAGGGTTACTTTCTCTGTTTCCTTGTATCAGTAAAAATAAAATAAGAAAAGTGGCACTGTCTTACCTGGTTTATCTGTTTTTGCAAAAACATAACATTGTTTAAAAGGAACAAAGAAATCTGCTTATGTTCTATAATGTGTGCAGTCTGTCTTTGTCCACTAGGTGTCTCTAGCTTTACATCTTTAGTAGCAGAACTCGCATCTGCTAAACCATGCAAAATGCCATTTAGTGGGTACTTGTGGAGTTCTCGTTAGGCTCATTGATGAGATGATTATAAGTTTAAACCACAAGTAGGACAAGTACTCTTCACAGAGACAAATGCAGTCACTGTTAAAGCTTAGAGGTATACTGGCAGAACTAACAGCAGACCCAGAGCTTGTCATTACCTGTCCCCTTCACACCTGCCAGATGTCCGAGGAGCTCCACTGCTGTCCTCAAAACCAGGTTTTGAATCTACTTCTGCTTCCTGAAACAGGGTAAGGAAGTACTTGTTACATTTACCTGTGAAGCGATACAACTCTTGCAATGCATCATACAAAGATGTAGCCTGTGGCTGCACTGTGTTCAGTTAAAAAAAAGAAAAAAGACTTTTTTCCTTTACAATAAATTTTCCCTTATGTCGGGCTGATCCCATGCAAACATAATGGGCACCCTTTCTCCACTATATATATATGTATGAAAATGGAGCTGAAAGTCAAATGATAGATTTATAATGTGTCTCCCTGTGTATATCAGCACTGATGGCTCCTCCAGCATGCTCCATTACCGCCAGTGGAAACTGTTGCTGTCTCATCACCACCATGGTGGTGCTACTGTCTGAAAACCCATTCACTCACATCAAAATGATTCATTTAATGGCAATATATCTATGCCTCTCTCCTTTAACCAGTGTGTCAGAGGTGGTGCTCTAGTGCCCTCTGGTGGTGGGCAGGATGACAGCTGAAAACCCAAGCACACACAAACCTCACGCCTTTTTTGTCTTTCATGCTCCTTCTCTTTGTGCTCAGACATTTTCTTGTCTTGTGAGATTCTGGCTTGTGTGCAGCACTTCTGAAGAGACACTTGGCTTCTACAGGAGAGTCAGATAACAATACACTCTGTAACAGATCAGAGACAAAAAACCCAAAACAACTCTTGTTCTCCAGGCCGAAATCTGCTCACTTTCTCTTCTGCTCGAGAATAGCCTTCTTCTCGTTCAACTCCTTCATTGCAGCCTGCTTCCTTTCCTCTGGCCTCTTCCAAGGAGGCGAGTCAAAAAGGGGGAGCTGGGGAATCATGCCGGCCTTGGTGGCTGTCTTTTTTCTGAAGAATAAATTCAAACAAACTGCTTCATATTTATGGCTCGTCTGAGCTCTGGGCTCTCAGCTTAGATTTTTATCACCTGGTTTCCTCCACAGAGAATGATATTAAAAAGTTGTTTTGCCATAATTTTACAAAGCACACGGCCACAAACTCTGCCCTCCACTCCACGGAGGGTCAAGGAGTAAAATAATGTTATAATGGTAACTGAGATTAAGTGATTATTAAAGATGCTCTCAGTTTTACAGCAGTTGCTCCCTTAAAGCCTCAACTTCACATTAGTTTTCCAGCTCAACTGTTTCCAAAGTCTATGAATAATCTCATTAAAAAAAAAACCTCAGTATTGACCATAATAATTCAGATTTAAATTTTACCTTTGATAATTGAGTAGTTGAAAATGACTTGGCCCCAACAGATATTTGCTATCTGGGTACATTATACAAAAACAAAGGTACAATTAATTAGATGCATGAAGTTTTAAAATCTCAATGAAAATATTTAACAAATGCATGTCCAATGCATATGTTTCATCCCTCTTATGAAACAACAGTGTGACATTTTGCATGTGTTTAGTTTCTAGTGTATGGAGTTGGAGGGAAATATCAATACTCCTGTCTTATTTGACAATTAAATTGAACCCTGGTATGTTTTATTAAACTGTTTAAGTGGTAGATGTTCATTTTAAACATGGCCAAATTTTCAAATAATGAGGTCAGTGCATATGTAATTCATTCCTGTGAACCAGACTGTTCTGAACAATCTGTTTCAGGATGTTTTTCTACTCTGATGTCATTGAGTGGGCATGGCTGTTTTTGGGGAGCAGCCAATTAGAAGAAAAGGGAGGGAGAAGAGAGCTAAAAAAGTTTTGTTTTCAGAGGATAAACTAAGATAAACAAGGATTACTTTGAGTTGCGAATGATAAAAGGCTACTTGAGTTCAGTCTGAGAATAAACATAGAAAGAGAAATGTGCCTAATGGATTCATTACATGGATACATGGATGAACACATCAGCCAGTTAACATCAGGAGTAGTATAAAGACTGGAAACAGCTAAGTTAGCAATGTCCTGCACTAATACATGGAGCAGCAGGACCAAAGTCCACTAGTTATCATGTTATATCTGTTTAAAAACTATAGCGTAATGAGACAATAAGCTATTTTACAAGCCGGTTGTATGTGACTATTATCGTGCAACCAGAGAAGAATGCAGAAGGTTATAGGGCTTAAGAGCCAAGAGAGACATCTCTGAAACCTATCCCAGCTTTCAAGAGGCATGGTGCTCCCTGGACAGAGTATATGACTTCTACAGAACTAATCCAAGAGATATTTAAGAGTAAATAACCAGAAAAATGTGAATTTCTATCAATTAGTTCATGAGCTAATTGTGGAAGGCCGAGATTTAAACCTTTGGAGAGAACCATTGTGATTCTGTCTGTTTCTTGCTCTTTGCTAGAAGAAACTCTCTGTTGGCTCTAGCCTCATAGGTAATTTACAAATCTTACACAGGTACCGACCTTCTCTGCTAACTCTTTGAAAAAAATAAATAAATAAGCACATACAATGCACCCAGAAAGATTTACAGCCTTGTTCAACATGTTTTCATGTTACAGCCTTATTCCAAAATTAATTTAATTCATTTTCCACCTCAACATTCTACATATAATACTCCATATGACAAAGTGAAAAACATTTTCTTCAAATTCTTGCGAATGTACTAAAAATAAAAAACCCCACACAAATATAACATGCACTTAAGTATTCACAGGCTTTGCCATGACAGTCAACATCGAGCTCAGGTGCACCCTGTTTACACTGCTCATCTGTCAGATGCTTCTACAGCTGGAGTCCACCTGTGGTAAATTCAGTTGTCTGGACATGATTTGGAAAGGCACACACCTGTCTGTGCAAGGTCCCATAACTGACAGTGCATGTCAAAGCACAAACCAAGCCATACCCAGTACCAAGGAACTGTCTATAGGCCAAGACGGCATTGTATTGAGGTACAGATGTGGGGAAGGGTCCATAAAAATGTGCTCAGCATTGAAGGTTCCAGTGAGAATAGTTGCCTACATCATCTGTAAATGGAAGGTTTGGAACCACCAGGACTCTTCCTAGAGCTGGCCACCTGACCAATCTGAGCTATCAGGGTAGAAGAGCCTTAGTCAGGGAGGCTACTCTGACAGAGCTCCTCAGTAAAAGGCACATGACAGCCCACTTGGAGTTTGCTGAAAGGCACATGAAGGACTCTCAGACCAAGAGAAACAAAACAACAACTGGTACTGAACTCTTTGGCCTCAATGTCAAACATGATTTCTAGAGGAAACCAGGCAGTGATCATCAACTGGCCAATACCATCCCTACAGTGACGTGTGGTCGTGGCAGCATCGTGCTGCAGGAATGTTTTTCAGCATCAGAATATGGGAGACTAGTCAGGGACAAGGGAAAGATGAATGCAGTAATCTACAGAGACATCCTTGAAGACAACCTGGGGGCGAAGGTTCATCTTCCATGAGGACAACGAACCTAAGCACAGAGCCAAGATAACAAAGGACCACTTCAGGACCATTCCTTGAGTGCCTTTGAGTGGCCAAGCCACAGACCAAACTCAAACCTGATTGAACATCTTTATAGCAATCTGAAAATGACTGTGCACTGACACTCCCCATCCAACCTGATCCACTCTGATCGAGCCTAAGAGAGTGCAAAGAATAATGGGGGAAACTTCCCAAAAATAGGTGTACCAAGCTTTCAGCATCATACTCAAAAAGACTTGAGGATGTAATCACTACAAAAGGTGCTTCAACAAAGTTTTGAGAAAAGTCTGGTAATACTTATTTACATTTTCATTTCTTCATTTTAAATAAATTTGCAAGAATTTCAAGCACATTTTTTCTCTGTGTCATTATGGGGCATTTTTTCCCACCCAAACATCTTTTCTTACCTCCTGCCAGAAAGGAGAAGTTTGGGGTTTAGGTTTTTATCACGTTGTGGTATTGAGCCCAGCTCAGCTCTGTCCAGTAGGATCAACTGATGCTTGAGTTCCTTGAACCTCTGCAGCTCCTCCACATCCCCTGACTCTTCCTGCTCCTCCATACCCCTCAGCTCTAACAGCTGGAGTTTCTCCACTGCTGGCAACTCTAGGAATGAAACAACAATGGCAGCTACTAGTGCGGTGTGGGGGCAACAAATACTGCAACATTCGATACTGTCTGCAGCTGCAGTGGCTGGCAGGAGGCATTTAAGAAGCTAATTCACACAGGTAAATCCACTCCTTTAAATATCTGTGTGGAATGTGGAGGAGAATGTAACCAACAAATTTTTACTCATTTTATAGTAAAGTAACTTCTAACAAGAATAAATGTTCAGTTTTAACACAGCTAAAGGTGGATAACAATACAGCGTGGAAATTCAAACCCACTACACTCCTTCTCTTGGCCAATTAAATGAGAAGAGATTTACATCTGAAACTCGGGACCCTATCTTTGTTAATAACCTTGTAAGCAGGGAGATAAATAATTTGATTGAGGGTTCTGTCTCTGCTTATTGTGCAGTAGCAGCAGCCTCTCCTGTTTCAGCCTTCTCACAGTGATTATCTCCAGACAGGGCTTAGTGACAGAGAGCTCCTGATTAGAGCCAACAGGTTATCGATCATTTCCATCGGGCTAAAAATATTACAGAGCTGGAACAGTGAAAAGGGAGGAGGCGCATGATGGTGGTGGTGGTGGTGGTGGGGAGTCGGCTGAGCTGCACGCGCCGTCTCCAAGGGAACAGGAGTCACACTAGAGAAGCGGTACCAGGGCAAGGAGCTATTTTTGTGAACGCGCTGTCCTGCCTTTGACAAAAAGAGCAGATGGCTAGGATGCACGTGCATGCTGCTTGTGTTGTTCAAAGGTAAAGTGCCTTTGACTCACCTGGAGGGTTCTTCCTTGTGCTGACTGGCCGGTGAGCCAGAGCACTCCTCAGGTACTGGAGGATGGACTGGAGTCCCTGCTGCACAATCTCTTGTGGAGGAAAGTGGATTGGGCAGTCCCTTAGGTTCAGACCTTTGAGGCTAATCACATTTCCTGCAAAAAGGCAAATAATGACTCATTCATAAAGACGTACACTGAATAATGAAGAGGCTTACATTACTCATAATGTACCAGCTACCTGTTAAAAGAGATCCATTATGTGTGTCTTTATTTTCTGTCATGTCCATGAATTTTTATGTCCATGAATTTTTATGTTCATTGAAATACTTATTCTTTGAGTGTAAGTGGACGATAACACGCCCCAAAACAAACAAACAAACAAAAAAACTGTTTATTTAGGACAAATGATCAACAAAGAGCTGTTCAGTGACCCAGTGTAAAATAAATAATGATTACTTTGAACTGTGAATCATGCAAAACGACACTAGTGGAGTCCAAGGAATTAAACTGCGTAGCTTTAAACAAGCAAAACAGGTCCCCTTTAAAATCCTGTAGTTACTGCATACATGTAATTCACATGTCAATATGTATAACTTCCTTTCTGAAAATTACAACTTTTTTTTGATAAGGAGGGACCACTCACCCAGTTCAGGTGGAAGTTCAGAGATAGGATTCCCTTCTAAGAGCAGTGTTTTCAAGCACCTACATCCATAAAAAGACAGATTATGAAATGTTTGAAGGGGTTAGGCCTTCGTCAGAAAGCATCTTTGCTCTTAAACTTGAATACACGGACAGGAGGAAAGTGTACAGGCCACTCTACAGTCATATTGTATAAATATCCTGAAATGCTTTTTAGGGCCTGGGAATCTCATTTCGCTACATTTAGATTTACAACTGTAGCACTTGTGTGCTTATCATAAAGTGTTCAACTTATGTTAATAGCTTTGAAATGTTAACAGTGATCAGAAAATGTTCTAAAACATGACATTCTTATAGTCCCATAGAGGCCTATGCCTTGGTTTAAGAGTAAATTGTAAGATCAAAGTTGTCCAGATAAGTTCAAATGAACACGTGCACATTAGACTGGTCTATAATTTTTTTGTTTTTTTAAATGTTGCATACAGTACCTGTGCAAGCCAATTTCAGGTGGGAGTGACTCAATTAGGTTTTTCCTGAGATCTAACCACAGTAGGTTGGGCAAGCTGATAAACACGGAGCCTGGAATACTGCATATCTGGTTGCCTTCAAGACTCAAATACTGAAGATGACAGAGGGAGCAGTTAGTAATGATGCAGTGGTAGAAACGTTTTTTCTTCTGCTTGAAAGCCACTGGAGCATACATCATGTAGCTGGTGTGTGTTTAGAGTCCACACTGACCTTTAGCTTGCTATTTCTCAAAGGACCGTCTGGAACATGTTTCAGCTGAGATCTGCTCAGACATAGCGTCTCTGTTGAATAACATTCAGCGGGCTCCTGTGGATCGGCATCCTCGGGAGGAGTGCGGGGGATCGGCGCTCTGACAACACTGCTCCCAAAGACAAAGCTAAGCTGCGCACCAGGAAGCTCAGCCTCCTTCTCCGGGGAAGTCATTGCACAAAGGAGGCCGAGACGCTTTACTGGTATACTCAAAATACACGAGTGTCTTTTTGGCAGAGAAATTTCTTGTTGTTTGTCTGTAAAAGACAAAACCGTCAAAGTTTTAAATAAATGAAGAGACGTCGTCTAACTTGGGTACGAGCTAACTAACTAACTAACTAACTAACTAACTAACTAAAGGACAACATTAGCCCACCATTATGTAACTGTTCAATAACTGTGTTAGCTTACCTGCTATTTCAGCACTACTACCAATGTGAACACGGCTCAGTGTTATCTAAAAACAAACACTTTATAGGTCGGAAAAAACTACGAAACTGAAAAATGTTATGCTAACTTTTAGACACGTCTCGCGACCTGACGCTGTAACCATAGCAACGTGGTCAACACAAGCTGGCAGCTGTCCACGTGCAAAACAAGAACAAGGCGACTAACTTGATATTTCTTCAGTAAAATTTTTGTATATATTTTTAAGTTAAATGTTTATATACTTTATTATATGCAGAGAAAAAAAGAAGAGCAAATGATCTAATGTGCACACTGTGTAGATAACGTGTTAATCCCGTTCCACAGTCAGTGAACCGACTCCACCCATCCATTTTCTAATGAGATTGTGGAATAATTCACTGAGGTTCATTTGGGCGGCAGGATAAACACGGCTTCCCTCTGTTGTGAACGCGAGCCGGGAAGCCTCCACTCTGTCCTGAGCCATCCTGGCTTTACGTCCACACACCGCTCCTAATGTATTGATTTGCACGACAGTCCGTGATACAGAGTTACGTCGACTATACTCACTAGCCAACAACTGTCACACTACTCTCGCAAGAGTCAAGTTAGTGAGGATACTAATTAGTAGTTTCCGGTTATTGCTTTCAATATAAAAGTCTAATGGACAAGCGGCAAAAATCAAGTGGTATCCCATTATTAACGTATAAATAAAAATTTTTTATCGAGATTTTGTTCAGTAGGCTACTTTTGATGGCCATTGTGACACATTTACCTACACTTGCGATCTAAATTTGCTGAGTCGAACTGGATGAATAATTTTTATGTATTAATGCCACTTCAGTTTCTGTATGCAATTTAAAATCTCAAATTAGAGGGATTTGACACTACCATTACTACATTATTATTCTGGCTAATTATAATAAACTACATAAAAGAAAAAATGGGTGTGAAAATGTGTTTATCTCAAATAAAAGTAGAAACTTAACCCCCGAAAAGAATAAAGATAAGTGAAATGATTTAATGTACTTAGAAATCTACCTAAATGAGATAACAAATGTATATTTGTGCTTATGTTTTTTTAGACTGGGAAAAAACAATAAAAATAAAAATAACGGAAAACAATTAAACTTACTTGAAAACTAACTGAAACTAATTCCAATTTAAAAGAAAAAATAAAACACTAAATTAAAACAAAATAAGTGAGGATTATAAAACCATAAATACATCGTCTAATAATTTTGAGGCGATTGAAAAGTCCTTTTGAGCTTTTATTTTTTACAGTTAACTGACTCACTTCCGGTTAGGGCTTCTCCAACTGAGTCCCTCTCCGCGTAGTCTGTACTCTTCAAGCCCCATCAAACACGAGTCCGTCGGTCTGGCTGCGCAAGGCAACTGAACACTACGAGCACCGAGTGGTTATTCCAGCCCAAACCTCCAACTTAGCAAACAGTGTTAGCTCTAAATATCATCCCTGTCCGTCGGTAAGCGCTGCACTTTGCTTTCCGCTTCCTTCTGAGGACTTCAACTCGCGCTGGTCAAATTGTCGGCAGACCAAATACGGGAGAAATAAAACGAAATAACGGACACGTCTCGGCTGAAATGCACGGCTGTTGTTACTGTCTTTTAAGGAGGAGGGTGTCCGACACAGAGCTGTAGTTTCTCTTCCAAGAAGGCGAGGAATGCAAGCTGAGCATCAATGTTTCACTGGGGCAAGTGGAAGAAGAGGATGGGAGCCAACAGTTCTTCAAAGAGACCCGTTTTTGACGAAAAGGAAGATGGTAAGTGAAGGTGTCACCAAATCTCTAGCAAATAGTGGCACTAACAACTTTGGAACTTATTATTGTGTATGTTTCACTTACGATGGCATTTTTTTTCACGGTATCCCTCCGCTTGGCACAGGCTCAGTTATCAAAGTTCCTGTTAGGAAATTAAACGCTGTCAAAGGAGTTTAGACGGAGTTTGGCTGCTCACGGCGAACAGACAGTGTTCATGTGGGAAATTTTCAAGGCTTGAAGTCAAACTTTCTACTACAGGAGGCAGCAGCAACAATAATCATGACAATAATAATAATAATGATTAAATGTACATTTTCATCACATGACCTGATGCTGAGTGCATATACATGGAAAGACCCCGAGCAGGTGAAATGAATCTTACCAGTACTATCAAACTATAACTTGGACTGGGCGTTTCACTCTTTTAATATTGTGGACTATCTGTGTTTGTTGTTTATAGCTCACAGTGTCGGCATTTTAACCTCGCTTAAATTGTATTATCGCGATATTTGGCGTGGAACTTTTAAATAATGAAATATTAATCAGATTCTTCTGAATTGTCTTTTTTTCCGTGTCATTTTCGCTTTCTTTTTTCGGTAATTAATTTTCACTCTGAATACAAGTTAAGAACAGTTACAGTTATTTAAGACATTAAGCCGTATGTCATTTCATCACCTTTAACTTCAGCACTGGTCGAGAGTGGCATCCTTAGTGTGGAAGTTTGTCCACTATGATCATCAAAGAAAAATGTCAGACCTTAAAAAATCCCTCACTAGTATTCCAGCAATCATAATGCCCACTTGAAAAAAACAAAACAAACCTACAGATTTAAACGAATGTCTTTATATTTTAGCACCAGTGTCCAAAAAAAATGAAAACGCACATTCACCGAACTCGATATGAAGCTGTAAAAATCCAAATCTCAGACCAAATGTATGTGCTTTAGTATTTTACGCTGACCTGGCCCTTAACTTGCATTTATTTTCCAGCTGCATCTCTCCGTCTCTCTCCTTATACCTCCACCTTTTTGTCTTCATTGTCCATTTCAAAGGGCAGACGTTAACGTTGGAGAGGCTGGGAGAGGGAGACGCGTGTCTGTAGCTATATGTGGCGAGATCATAAAGGCAAAAGGCGAGAGCGACAGATATGGAGAGTCCGTTGTCTCGCTAAAGCCACAGTCCTCAAAGCACAAACCCCCACCCCACCCCAAAAAACACAGCTCTTGCCACTGAAGCGCAGTATATACCTCCATGCTCACGCTGCGGGGAAACACTTTAATGCCTGAACGAGCTCTTTGGAAATATTGTGTGTTCAAAGACGGAGAACTAATTGCATAATCAAGACAAGATTATAGTGTCATGCGTGGAAAGTAATGTTAAGTAATGTCTTGTCAGTGTATGGGGATATAAGCCTCTTGGAAGTGAGCCCAATAAGCTCAGCACTGGATTGCTGAATCTCTGATGATGGACTGCAGGAGGGGGGAAAAAATCCACTGTTGCTGCAGAACTATTTGGCCGGAAAACTTGAGTAAATGAGGTCATTTCACTGCAGGGATATGGTCATATGCTCTGTGTGTGTGTGTGTGTGTGTGTGTGTATGTGTGTGTTAGTACTCCCCTTTTGCACACAAGGGTAACCCAATTAAGTCTACAGCTCTTGCCTTTAGGAAAAGTGTCCAGCTGTAGTTCAGATCACTATCAAGGGGAGTGGTTACTGAAGTGGCCCTATGGCATTCGCACTCGCAGCAGTTAATCAAAGCCAGGAGAGATGTTCTTGAGCGGGCTGTGCACATTTGGCTTTCTTTAGCTTTTCTGTGCGATTAAAGGGAAACTTTAAGGCTGAGGTCAGAACCTCTTCAAGACTGTGTCGCTGTGTTAATGTGTGATTTGTTTATGCCGAGTGTGAAAAAAGGGGGAAAAACTAGAGATCAGCTTCGTCTTTATCCTCCCATCATCAGTGTAACGCAGGTGTCACTTAGGCTTGACCTACAAAACACCAGCAGTGAAAAATTCAGTTGGTGGAGTATCACCGCCACCATCAACTGTGGTCTTAATCACCGGCTGTGTCACCACCGCTGTGATTATGCGTAGAAGCGTAGACCGAGGCCTGATCTTAGATGCAAAGATGCATTCGATGTTAATTATGCAATGTTGTCATTACGGGGATCTGCTTAAGAGCGCGCTCGCTTTTCATGCAGCAATGAAAATACTCGTCTGCTGAGCACAAAGGGAGCAGTAGGCATCGTGGGTGGAGGGCACATATGCATTAAAGAGAGACAACTGTTAATGTGAAACTGATCACCTTGAACATTTGCGGAGCGCTGATTCGGCACCGCCTTCGTGAAGCAGCTGGCTCTCTTTTTTTTTTTTTTTTTTACCCCGAGCCTCGATAACAAACGGAGCAAAAGATGCGCTGCCTTCTGGATGCTGACTTAGGCTCTAGATGTATGGAATCAGAACGATGCCACCTTGAAACGAAACCGAAAAAAAATATTGTAACTGAAATAAATGTAGTGAAAAATCTTGTATTGAAACCGAAAAAAAAATGGATAGTGAAAAACAATTAATTGAAACTGTAATTTTTTTGTTTTCCCTTACAATTTTTTTTTTCGGTTTCAATCCACTTTTCGGTTTCAAACCATTTTTCAGTTTCACTCTGCTGGCACTGTTTTGTACGCCAAAACGGGGGCGCGCTGGGGGGCGGGGATTCCGGCCCGCATGTATTTGCATATATTATAATGCTGACCAATGACTGGAGAAAACACTGACGACGCGGCTGCGGTCACGGACAAACTCGCACGTGTCTGTTCGGGAATGGCAGATTCCGAGAGGTCCAGTGTTTACATTACCGACTATTTCAAAGTGACAGCCTGAGGTGTTCTTCAGTAAATTGGACTACCGGACAGGAGGACCTGAGGCCCCACCGCATTAATTTTGGTAAGTTAAATGTGTTTGTAAGCTAATCCGTAATTTAGGTCCTTAGCTAGCTACCTAAGGACCTAGCTAGCTAAAATGAGCACTCGGCTGTCGGGGAAACTTGTTTTGTAAAGTTCGTTTAGCTACCCCGTGCAGGTGAATGAATTTACCCTGACTAAAGAAATCAAGAGAAACGCACCGGGCTGCTCAGTGACTAACCACGGTTACTGTACTTTTTATGAGTATTATACTGTAAGAGCAACAGGCTGGACTCTGCTTCTGCTCCTGTGCAGAGCTGATTATTAAATATGTGCAAACAGCAGCATGTTTTCTGTCGCTTTCCACATGTGGAAGGACATTAAAGCCAACTTTTAAATTCCCCTCATTAGTCAGTAGCTACGGATTAAATAGCAAAGCCCGATACTTATGTACTGAAACCAACTACTTCCGCTTGTCAGCTTAACTTAAAATGTTACATTTTTCCCCTGATTATTTTTTTTACTGAGTTTGTTACAAATATTCAGGTTAAAAAACTGTCCAAATTATTTTTAATGAATTATGTTCACAAAGTCACATGTGCAGTACTCTGTACAGCTTGCATCCTTTAGGACAAATAATTTGAAACGTTAATATTTCTTGTTCAATACTGAGCTGATAACACCTCTGTATGTTGTGACCAGGATGCAGCAGCAGACTGAACCTCGACTGAAACCTGCTCCATCATCTCATCTTTGCAGATGTCCATTTATAAAGCATCAACAACTCAAAGGTAAACATGATATTAGAAAATGTGTTAGTATATAAGGCCTTTAAAACAAATAAAAAAATAAACAGCTGTCGGCAGAACTGTAGGACTGAACAACTTCAGATCCCGAGTGTGTGAGGACAGAGAAGGATCAGCTGTATTTCAGATTTGAGAGAAACTTTATATTTCAGTTTGTGATGATTCTGTTCTGTTTGTGATTACAGGAGCTGTCCTCAGATTCAGACCTCAGCACCACCCAGTGACAGCAGACAGATCATCCTATGTCTTCAATCTTTGTAGTAACTCCAAAATTAACTGAAGAAAACAGTACAAAGGTTAAAGTACCACATGTGCTGTCAGTGAAAGCTGCAGCTGTTTTATTGATAAATTTAAAGACAAAAAGTCAAAAGGATTAATCACCCCTGTAACTGTGTCACTATACATCAGCATTAACAGGACCTCAGTTTGGTGTTTCAGAAAACTGCTGATCTCAGACCTGCACAACTTCTGTTTTAAACACTGAATGTACTCAGCTACATGAAAAGCACGTGATGTTTTCTCTGACACAATTAAATAAAACCTGATTAAAGTCAAAGGTTGTTACTTGTATTTGAACTAAAAACTTGTGATCTGGAATTCTTTCACTGTTTTTTGACAATAGTGTGTTATTTATCATAAAGTAATTCAGAGTCATTCATACCAGAGTAACCAGTGAGCACAACATATATTTAACTTTCTACAGGACTTAAAGATATTACTATAGCTTATAGCTATTACTTAACTGCACTACTGTATAGTTCTGTGTAAATAATCATTCTGTACATATGATTTTTAATCCTACAACTGTTTATAATTTGCATAGTTCACATTTCTGTATAACTGTATATCTCAGATTTCTGTAGTTTTTCATATTTATATCCTGTACATAGTTTGTACTCACTACAGCCTGTACATACTTATAGTTATAGAATATTCACAACATACTTCATACCGTGTACATTGTAACACACCATAATAGACCCATTTCTGTAATATACTTACATATCTATACTATTGCTAATATATATTGTAATATATCTATATCATGGCTAAAGCACTTCTGGATGGATGCAAACTGCATTTCGTTGCCCTGTACCTGTGCATGTGCAATGACAACAAAGTTGAATTCTATTATATTATGTAAAAGTCCAGACCCTCTGAGGATTATCTGAGTACTTCTAACATTACACAAAGCAAAGGTCTCCATCAGTGTTCATGAAATGCTGGGTTTATCCTTCTTGTGAGGGAGCTGCTGGTGAAGATCACGAGCCCTGCTTGATCCCGGCGATGAGTTTCAGTCTTCCT